ATCCCCCCATGGACACCCCCTTCACACACACGCCCCCCAGATCCCCTCACGGGCCCCTCCCTCACATCCCCTCACGCTCCCCTCGCCCCCGGTCCCTCCCCGGCCGCACCGATGCTGGCGGGCGCATCGCGGCGGCCGCGGGCGGGCGGGCAGAGCGCGGCGAGGAGCAGCAGGAGCGGGCACAGGCCGTGCATGGCGCCGGCCCCGGGCGCAGGACGCGGCCGAAGGGCGAGGGGCGGGCCGGGAGCCGGCGCAGGGCCGGAAGCCGCTGGGATGATGAGGGGCCGGGAGGGGAAGTTACACCAACCGCGCCGCTGGTGTAGTGGTATCATGCAAGATTCCCATTCTTGCGACCCGGGTTCGATTCCCGGGCGGCGCATTGAAGTTTTATAGTCCCTTGATCTTTAATTCTTCGCCGAATTACTTTTACTCCATTCACTCTGAATTCCTTTACTTTCAATTCAATTCCTTTGCTTTTAATTCTTTTAATTATTTAACGCCTTCATTTTTCTTTTCCCACCCTCTACCTCGATACCCCCGTTCCCAGGGACCCGATGTCCCTTTTCACCCCACTTTTAACCCCTTTACTTTTAACTATACACTTTTAACTCCTTCATTTGAAACTCCTCTATTTTAGTTCCCGTATTTCAATTCCTTTACTTTTCAATCCCTTCATTTTAACCCCTCTGTTTTTAATCGTCCCCGCCGTCACCTGTCGCGCACGCGCAGATTGGCAGCGGGCGGGACGCGCGCTCCCGCTCCGTTCCCGCGCTCTCTCCGCGCACGCGCGTTCCCGCCCCTCCACCGCCCCCCCCAGTCCCCTCAGCCCGCCCGCCCGCCGCCATCTTGCGAGGAGCTGCCGCGGGACCGTCCGCCGGCGGGGCCGGCGCCGCTCGGGCTGCCCGGGCTGCCCAGGGCTCACGGGGCCGCCCCGGCGGGCGGGAAGAGCCGGGGTGGGCGGCGGCGGCGCCATGGAGGATGAAATGCCCAAGACCCTGTGAGTGGGGAGGGGGCGAGACCGCCTATTGTTCCCGGCTCCGCGGGGAGGGGCGGCCCGGGGTCGCCTCGCGGAGGGGCCCCTCAGGCACCGGCGGTGCCGCTGGGGCTCCGCCGCGGGCCCTCAGCTGCCCGCAGTGCTGGGGGAGCGACCCCCGCCTGGGGCTAAGGGGTACCCGGCGCCCCCTGCGGTGTTCCTGCCCCTTCCCGGTTCCCAGTGCTGGTCACCGCCGTCCTGCCCCGCGATCCGGGTGTTATCCCGGGCCTCCAGCTCACTTCTGGAGGAAAAGGGGGTCTGGAAGATGTGTCCGCCCTCCCCAGTCCATCCTAGCACGTGGCAGGGGACGGAACTGGATGATCACGGTCCCTTCCACCCCAGACCGTTCCATGATGACGATCCTATCATCCTACATGCTCCATGTGCATTTTGTGAGCATCTGGCTGGATTTTACTATCTCTGGAGCATGTGGCACCACCAGCTCCCAGGGAATGTGGGCACTGCCCTGGGAAACAGCTGGAGCCCCAGTGCCACGATCAGCAGCTCCAAGGAAATACCCAGGAGGTGCCCATGAATCCATTGTTTGCCCCAGTGTTCAAAGCACGCCTTGAGCCTGTTACTTCCCAAAGAACTAGTTATGAAGCTGTGTCAGGGGAGGTTTACATTGGGTATTAGGAAAAGGTGGTGGTGCTGTGGACACCTGACACTTTTCCAGGCACGGGAGAGCTCCTGTGCACCCCTGGTGCTGTTTCCCAGAGCTCCTGTGCACACCTGAGCTGTGTGTTTCCCTCCTTTTCCCAGACAGGTGTTACCTGGAGTGGTATCCCTTGTACAGATCAGGGAAATCAGCCTCCAGTCTTTCCATCTGACCTCTGCCAGCTTCATTCTCCAGTGCAGGAGCAAAGGCAGGAGGGAGAGGGAATCATTCCAAGGCGAGGGAACATTGTGCCCTTGGATTGCTGCACCTCCCCAGGGGTTGAGAAACAACTTGGCTGAGTGACCACAGGAAAACAAGCCCTTGAGGTGCCTCACCCCAGCTCTCCTAGGCAGTGACCACTCTGTCTGCTCCTCCAATCCCGTTGTCTTCCCACATTTTGGGAGCTATTCTTGGCATCAGCAAACATGGTCAGACCTGTTGGCGTGTTTTGTGTTTATTTAGGAAGATGTTCCCCCCCATCCCAATGGTTGTGTGGAGCCTGGTGGTCTCGGTGTGTTCCCGAGGGAATGAGGTCCCTGTCCTGGAGCACGTGCAGCTTGTGGCACAGACGTGGAATGACTGAGGGTGGAAAAGATCTCCGGGATCATTGAGTCCGACCTTAAACACAGCTGGGTTCTGAGCACAGCTGAGGACTGAGCAACACCCTGGGATGGGATTCCTGTGGCACCTCCCAGTGACTTTCTCAGATGACAGAGGGGATTGTCACGAGCTGGGTGTCACAGGGCACGTTTAGAACGAGCAGTTGAAGGCAGAAAGTGCAGCTGAAGGTGATCTTTGCACCTGGGGGCCAAAGTGGGTGTTAAATCCATGTCTACACGAGGATTTCTGTAGGATTTCTGCTCCAGGAACCCCACCTGGGTGTGGATTTTGGGGCTCCCTCAGTTGTGTGACATCATGAGGGGCCTCCAAAGCCCTCTGCACCCCCGTCCCTGTTCCTTTCCTTCCTTTAGCACATTTCAGACATTTTTCTGGAATAGATCCCAGACGTTATAGCAAGTGACACCTTGGTTTTGCCGTTTCCACATAACCCGTGTCTGTGAGGGGGTGTAGATCCTTTAGGAGCTGTTATTCCCTTTATGTAAATGATTTCCTGGAGAGGCAGCTTGTTCTCCCTTCCTTGAAAACCACTCTTCACCAGCAGATTGAGGATCTGCAGAGTGGTTACGAGATGGGTTTGAAGTGACCAAGTTGTCTTGTTTGTGTTTTCCATGGAAGTCCGTGGATGCTTGTGTGTCCTAATTCAGTTTGTGTGTCTGAAAGAAGTGCTGGCAGTGGTTGGGTTTTACTTCTAAGGAAGCCACAGGCAGTGAATAAAGTTGGAAAATACAGGCCTTCATCTGCAGAGAGTCACCAACCAACTCATTAATTGGATTCTCTTCCAATTAGCAGGAAAGAGAAGGATGGGAAAGGTGCAGGAAGAGACAGGACTGAGATCTCCTCCTGTGAGCGCAGAGGTTGGGGTGTGGGCACCCTGTTTGGGGAACTCTCAGTCACAAATTAATTCATTTGGACCCAGAAGGTCACGTGGGGCTCAGTTTATGCATTATCCAAAGGATGACAATGTTGAAAAAAAAGAGGGAGGAAAAAAGAGGCCTTTCTAGGTCTGATTGGGTTGACAAGGTGATGGTCAGTCAAAGGTTGGACTTGATGAGGTCTTTCCTAAGAAAATGATTCTGTGATTCTGACTCTTGGTTGAACTTGATGTGGGGGATAATGTCCTGGTTAATTACCTTAATGAAGTGCACCAATCCCTCCTTTTTCAAAGGTTTTAGGGCTTAAGGAAACTTGCCAGAAGTGCAGGAACCACTCAGAGCAAGACGATGCCTGTGAAGGTCTGTCTGGGGATTTTAAAATACACTCCTGACTCCTCTCTAAAATAGTTGTCCAAATTATTAACACAGGGCTCCTGTATTTATCACTTCTGGCAGCAAAACAGGCTCTGTGTCTCCTTCCCACATTGTCTGCTTAGCCAAATATTGGAGCTCATCCCTCTGGCAGGTTCCCGGCCTTGTGTCAACACCAGGAGCACGAGCAGCCCCTGTTGTTGCTGCCTGGTTGTTTTCTGACAACACCTTTACACCTCTTGGCAGCAGGTGGGGGGGTTGCAGGTGCACCCAGGTGGTTTTGGTGGTGGGATTTGTCCAGGATTCCCGTGGCAGAGGTTGCCCACAGAACATTCCTTCGTGGGAAGCTGCTGCCACACCTCGGGGGCTGAGGTTTCTCGCTGTGCTTTTTATAAAAATCTCGTGACTCGGGCTTGACAACAACAACAAAAACACCCACCTGTGGTTCATGGGGGTCTGAGAAAGCCAAAATCCCAGATGGGAGCAGGGGTTGAGGTTGTGTTTGTGCACTCGAGCACGTTGGCCTGTGGTCTCACGCAGATCTGATGCTTCCAAAACCTGAGGCCTTTGAAAGAAACGGACCAAATGTTGTGTAACAACCTTGACAAACACCAGCCTGAGCTGTTGGGGCAGCTGGGGAATGATGATGTTGTACAGATACCAGAACTGCCATTTCTGTGCACCAAATCAGTTTGGTGGGTTGAGTTCATGGAGTTACAGGGTCGTGGAGTTATTTGAGTTGGAAGGGACCTTAAAGATAATCCAATTTATCTCACCCCCCCTTTCATGGGCAGGAACACATTCCACTAGACCAGGCTGCCCCGTTGGACTGACCCTTCCTCTCCAGACATCCCATACAAACCCAAATAAGTTCAAATAAATATGAATAAATAGTAGAATCATAGAATGGTTGGGTTGGAAGGGACCTTAAAGCCATCCCTGCTCATCCCAGGGGCAGGGACACCTTCCACTCTCCCAGGTTGCTCCAAGCCCTGTCCAGCCTGGCCTTGGGCACTTCCAGGGATGGGGCAGCCACAGCTTCTCTGGGAATTCCATCCCAGCCCCTCCCCACCCTCCCAGGGAAGGATTCCTTCCCAATATCCCATCTAACCCTGCCCTCTGTCAGGGGGAAGCTCTCCCCCTTTTCCTGTCCCTGCAGGCCCTTGCCCAGAGCCCCCTGCAGCTCCCAGTGTGACCAACCCCGGTGTCTGTGCTGTGTTTGATCCTCAGGTACGTGGGGAACCTGTCCAGGGACGTGACCGAGGCTCTGATCCTCCAGCTCTTCAGCCAGATCGGACCATGCAAAAACTGCAAGATGATCATGGATGTAAGAGCCTGCACTGACTGCCATGTTCCTCATGGCTTCAGGCCGTGCTTGTGTGTCTGGGAATTCCCCTGGAAAAAGGGCACGACCAGTTAAAGGGTGTAATAGGCCTGGAAGTGCTGCTGTGTGCTTTTGGAATCATTCCTGCTTTGTACCTGGTGTGAATTTAAGGCTGGGTGGACATGGTGAGAGTGAGAGTGAACAACTTCAACCGTGGGGGGATTGTAAATGAGATTTTGACAATTCTCTGCCATAATTTTAACTTTGTAAGGCAGAGCTTTGTCAGTCCCTGAATGCAGTCCCTGTGCAATGAA